GGGGGGGAAGCGACTGGCTGCTCGGAGCCCTGGAGGGCACCTCCTGTCAGCAGTGTGTCCAGTGCCCAGAGGGCCAGGCTGGGGGGCAAAGCACAGGGGGAGTGAGGGGGCACGGGCTGGAGACTAGGGCTTGTGCCGAGTGCTCCCGGGAGTGACCATAGGCACTGGCAGAAGGTCAGGGTGCTCAGGTCTGAGCAGTGGGATGGGGTCAGCCTGTGCTGCCTCGGACGACCCTCTTCCAGTGCCGGACGTCAAGTGTGATTCGGTTGCACTTGGGTCTTCGCTGGGGGATTCCTGGCATCGCCCGGCAGCACCTTCCTCCGGGGAGAGCTGGGACCCCGAGCGACAGAGGAGCTGCCCAATGAGATGCTGCTCTGTCCTCACCCTGAGGGCTTGACCCCGGCCTCCTCTGATGTCATTCTCAGGGGTGCTCCCCATCGCTTTGGGGGCCCCTCATGGGAGACAAGGAGGACTGACCCAGACTGCCCTCCTGGGCCCTCTGCCCCCACTCGGGGCCGCCAGTCCCTCAGCTGTATCTCCCCGTGGGGGGGGCCTGGATGACCTGGACGGGACGGGGAGGGGCCTAGTACCATGACCGCCGCGTGTGGCCCGGGGCTCTGCTATGGGGAAAGTCAAAATACCGCCCCCGGCGTCTTAGCGCATGGAGGGGCAGCGGGCTGGAAACGCCAGAGGCCTGGGCCAGGCGGGAGGGAGGCTCGCGCTGCCTCGCTTCTCTGGGTGATCCGGGAGTGGCCGTGGGGCCAGCTGCCCGAGGGGCTCTGGGCCCCGTGCGCCCAGATCAGGGGCGAAGCTGGGAAGACTTCTGCAAGCACAAAGAAAATCCCGTCCTCCTCTGCCAGCGCCCCCTCCCTGAGCAGGGGTGTAGCGGGGCGAGCCAGCCCTGCACAAAGCAGCAGCTCCCTCTCATCCGTCAGCCCCGGCCCTGATGCGTGCGCAGCCGGGGAAATGGCCCGAGCGGGGAAAGCGTTCACGTTAAATCGTCCAGACATAATCGAATCCCCGACGCGCTGCCAATAAATCCCCGCCGGCCTGCGCCTTCCCTGCCGGGGGCTGTGGTGAGCGGGCCCCGCGTGGGCGCCTGGCTGGGGCCGGCCGGCTTGGGGCTGCGCGGGGCAGCCCCTCCAGCTCCCACCTCCCGAGCCTCAGGGTCCTCCTCTGTGAAGTGGATGCTAAGCGCTCCCTCCCCGGGCTCGCGGGCGGTCTGGCTTCTGGCCACGGTCACCTGCAGGTCACCTGTGCGTTCACGCCAACTTTGAAGGATCCCCCCTGGCGAGCAGCATCGATTAAATAGTCATGAAGCCACTTGTAAATGGCTCCTGGAAGGCGCGCACATGCGTAAAGCAAGAAATTAATTCGTTTTCCCATATTTTATTGATCAAAGGCGCCGTCAGCTGCCCGTCGCAGCCCCTGATCGGCAGCCGGCCCCAGGGGGCTCGTGTCATCCTGGCAGCGGCTGTGATGGAGCCCCGGGAAGCGGGGGGCTCAGTGCCACTTGTTGAGATCATCACAGGAGAACTTGGTGCTGCTGGGGGAAATTTGAATATGGAGCCCCCGCCTCTCAGTGACATCCGCGGCCTTAGAAGGAAAACTCCTGTTCTCTGGACGGCCGGGGCAGAGTGCTGTCTCTCCGGGGTGCTCTGGCAGCAGGGGGGGCTGGGGAGGACTCCTGGGTGGGCCGTGACCAGACTCCTGTCTCTGGCCCCTGGCAGTGGCTTTGGGGAGTCGGGCTGCTGTGTGGAGCCAGTGGAGGTGTAAAGGGCCCAGGTCCCTGGGGTGCCGCCCCGCGTCAGCTCTAGGTGACAGCCAGGAGGGCTGTAACCCCGAAGAAGGTGGCAGGGCCTGCACGGGCCTTGGGGCAGCCCCTGCCTCACTCTTCAGGGCTGCACAGTGGGTGTGGGGGAGGCTCACGGGGGCGGGGGTGGCCTGAGCCCAGCTGCTTGGGCTGCAGGCCCCTCCTGATGTGGCTGGGGATGGGGCAGGGAGGACCCAGCCCCTTGGCCCCTGTCCTGGGCTGCGGCGGCCTCCCCTCCCGCCTTGAGGCAGGGGCGCGGCCAGCAGCCGGTCGCACCGATGGCGGAGACTCTGGGGTCAGTCTGTGATGTGACCCCGGAGCCTCACTTTGTCCGTCCGTCTGTGGGGTGCGTGCTGACATTCCGTGCCTCCCGGGGGCGCCTGCCGCCTCGCCGCCCACGTGGCCCTCAGGCCACAGGACCTGAGGGCTTTGCACTGTCTTAGCTGAGGGCTGTGAGCAGTGGGACTGGGGGGCCCGTGTGTGTTAGGTGCTGGGGGGTGTGAACTGGGGCCGAGTGTCCTGTGTCTCACCAGCGCGGCCGGGAGCTGCCCGTCCCTGGGGCCGGGTGGTGTTGCAGAGGCCAGAAGGGTGGGGCTGTCCCTGCAGGCGCCTCCTCTTCAGGTTGGTTTCGGAGCCACTGGGCGTGTGGCTGCAGGGGAGCCAGGACCTGTCCCCCTCCCCCCCACCTCCTGCCCGATTAGCCGCCCCCCCAGGGCCCTGGGTGGGCCCGACGCTAAGTGACAGCTGACAACGAGCAGAGCTGAGCTGGGCGCCGCAGTGCCAGGGGCCGGGCAGCGGCCGAGCCGTGTCCTCACCTAATCTGATTTCAGCCGGATCTGGTCTCAGGAGCCGCCCACCGCTGCAGACCTGGGGATTGTCTGGGGCGGGAGTCCAGAGCCTTCCTGTGGTCTGGAGTAGGGGGCAGGTGCGGCGTGGTGCCGGGCTGCTGGCCTTGGGGCCCAGCTTCCTGGGACAGACCCGCCGTGGCCGCCGAGTGGGGCTCTGCCATGGAGCGTCCACCTCCAGGTGCTGGGAAGCAGTGGCTGCCCTTTGTGGGGAACCCTCAGGCCAAGAAAACAGGCGAATGCTGCTGGCCTCAGGCCTCTGCTGGCCGCAGGACCCGGCAGCTCTGGGCGCGCACGGGCCCCATCTGGGCCCCACCTGCTGTCACTGAGCTGGGGCTAAGAGGTGTCCCCAGCAGATCTGCCATTTCCCGCTCACCTCTGCAGGGTTGCCCCCAGATTCTGAGCCGCCCAGGTGTGAGCCAGGGACCCAGCCATGTGCCCTGTGCCACCGGCTCAGGGGAGGCGGGGAGGGAGGGGCACGGGCAGCAGGAACAGCGTAAGGGGAAAGAGAAGGGACCGGAATCCTGACGTGACCTGGCCCATGCGTGCTCTGCTCCCTCTCCACCTCCAGGCCTCAGTTTCCCTAATGGTGCAGTGAGAGAGGTCAAGCGACCTGTAACCTGTCCTTTATGAGCGTGGCAGGGGTGTTGCTGGCCCCGCGGGCCAGGACCCTCAGGCCCTGGAGGTGTGTCGTCCTCTCGGGCCTCCGGGCTCTGGAGCCTCAGCTCTGCCACCTTCTGGGGGCCTCTCTGTGCTGAGATGGGGAATAAAGGCATCCGTGGGCCAGGTGCACAGGGTGTGGGGAGGATGTGGTGCTGGGCCGGCCCCTTGGGGTCTGCGCCAGCACAGGGCCCTTTGGCCCCCGAGTCTCTCCCTGCGGCTCAGCTTCCAAGAGGCCAGGGGGTGCCTGGTGGGTTCTGCAGGGCCAGGGCTGATGCTCCCTGGGCGCCCAAGTGGCTGCAGGGTGGGGCTGGGCCCGGCAGACGCTGTGGCCACGGGGTAGGGCGCTGGCCCCTCCCCAGCCCCAGAAGGAGGCCCGGCCTGGCTGGCTGCGGTTTTGGTCAGGAGCTGTGTAATTACCTCTAAAACGGGACGCCGAGGAGGAATTAAAATAAACGCTCAGTGGAAATTAGAGACAAACCATGTGCAAAAAATAGTGGGGCCCGCGGGGAGCAGGGTGTCCGTGGGAAGGAGGGCGTCCGAAGGGGCCGGGCGGGCAGCGTCAGACCCCTCACTGCCGGCTGAGGCGGGGCTTCGGAGACCGTGCGTGCGCTCGTGGTCCTGCGGGAGCCCGAGGCTGAGCTGTGGGCAGGCCGCAGTCCTTCATGGGCCCTGGCCCTCCCGTGGCCACTGGTCTGCTGGCCCCGTCCCACGTCCGTGGCTCGTGGTGCCGCACCCCGGGCTCTGCCTTCGTTACGTCGTGTGCCGCTGTGCTCTTTGTTTAGATTGAAGTTTTATTATTGTGCTAAAATACACAAAACTCAAATTGCCTGCGCAGTCACTTCCAGGCGCGCAGTGCGGTGGTGGTGAGCGTGACGCCCGTGTTTCTCCCACAGCTCCTCGCCCCGCCTGACAGGGACCCGCCGCGCCGGGCCTGCCCACCCCGCCCGCCCTCTCCCTCAGAATCCTTTGCCCCGAGGCCTCGCAGGAGTGAGGTCCCACACTGTCCTCGGGCGTGAGGCCACCCTGCCCGGCCATCTTTGACTGTTACGTGTGGTGAGACCACAGTCAGCGTGTGCCGCGCCCTCGCCTGCCCTGAGCCAGGCCAGCTCTCTCTCCCTGGGGACTGAGCTGGCTGCCCTGTTCACGCCCCCGGCGTGGCCAAGCCCGCTGTGGGCCGGGAGCGCCAGTGTCGGGGTGCCGGGGCACGGAGAAAGCCAGCCTCGTGCTCCCACCGCCCCGGGCCGGCTGGCTGGGTGCTCCAGGATCCCCCGGGGCTTCTGTGGGGCTCCTGGCTTTCGACTCTGTCACGTGAAGTGTTGAGCGTGGGTCTGTCACCAGAAAGTGTGCGTGCGTGCGTGTAGGTGCATGTGGGTGTGTGCAGGCGTGTGCACATGGGTGCGTACAGTGCCAGTGCACACGTGTGTCCCCGTGCACACACCCACGTGCAGTCGTGATCCCGAACATTGCAGGTGTTTCCCGTGCAGGCCTCTGTGTTCGTGCATGTGCTTGCGTGTGCGTGTGCGTGTGCGTGTGCTCATGTTCTGTCCACACCGGGCCGGCGTGCTATGCTCAGTCACGACCATCTGAGCCAGGAGCGGGGGGCGCGGGGTGGACCCCACGGGTGGCTGGGGCGATGCCGCTCCAGGTGCTGCCGGCTGACGTGTCCTCCCCTTCTGCAGTTCCTGTGCTTGAAGAACATCCGAACCTTCCTGAAGGTCTGCCACGACAAGTTCGGCTTGAGGAACAGTGAGCTCTTCGACCCCTTCGACCTTTTCGATGTCCGGGACTTCGGGAAGGTGAGTGGCCCGTCCCGGTGTCCCCCAGGCGCGGCGCCCAGGACTCCCCATCGGCCCGTGGTTGTCCTCACAGCAGGGGTTTGTCGGGCTGGGCACCACTGCCCCTCTCCCCTCAGCCTTTCGGGGAGGTCCGGAGACTCCAGGAGGGTGGAGGGGGGCAGGGCGCTGGGGGCCCCGAGAGCGTTGTCTGGCCCCGAGCCCCCGATGCTTCATCCGGAAGGACCACGTTAGCCCTGGAGCCGCGGGCTGGGGCGGTGCGCTCAGCAGCTGCTGGAAGAGCCGCCTTCCTCCCGGTCAGCCGACCCTGCATAGCTGCACCTGACTCTGAGCGGGCCGGGGGGTGGTCCCCTGTTTCCTGAGCTGCCCGGGGTCCTCTAGTCTGTGGCAGACAACCCTTAGAGTCTGTGCGCTTCTCATCCGTGGGGCTGGGGGCCGTGGCTCACCCTGGGCTCGGGGTACGTGGTGAAGGGTGCCGCTGAAAGCACCGCGGGCCGCGCCCCTCCTCGCTGCGACGGACCGGCTGGGGTGTTGTCAGGAGGGCGGGGGGAGGGCGGCAGCATCCCATGTCCTGGTGCAGCCTGGGGGGGCTGCCGGCAGGCCCCTGCTTCACGCCAGGCCCAGGACCCCCGGGCAGTCCCCCACCTGCCGATGGAGCTCCCGGAAGGTGTTTGTCCGGGGACGTTCCAGGCGTTGGCGGGAAGCTCACCAGCGCGTGGCTTACGGGCCGCAGAGGGCGCTTGGCGCCCCGGGCAGTCGCTGAGCAGCCCTTCCCGGGGCGGCCTCCAGTGGCATCCTGAGTGTCAGGTTGCGCCCACGGCCCGGCTTCTCAGCAGCGGCCTGCGCGGGCGCTCCTCCTGGGTCCACCGGGGCCAGCTGCCTCTCTGTGGCCTGTCGGCCTGCGGGCACACGGGGCCGGCTTCCCGCGGGTGCTCGGGCCAGGCCGGCGGGACGGTCTGGGCGTGTGGCTTTGCAGGCGCTGGGGCAGGGCCTGGGGTGAGGGCTCTTCTTCTGCCTCGCCTGGTCTCCCGCTTGCTCCTAGAGGGCGTAGGACTGGGGGGGTCTGGGGACGAGCTGGCTGGTGTCTGCCCGGGCGCGGTCTTTCTGGGGTCAGTTTATCGCTGTGATGTCAGGTGTGGCGCTCGCAGGTCCTGGGGCTGGTGGGCCTAGGACTCTTTCGGAACAGCCGTCTCTCACCTTCCCAAGTTGACCCTGATGTTGGGGTCCTTTCTTGGGAAGAAAAGGCATTCATGCATTCATTCCTTCCTTCCTCCACCTACCCACCCCCCACCCCTGCACCCCTCCACCCACCACCATCCTCCCACGCACCCACCCGTCAAGCATTTAGTTGTCAAGGTGTTTACTAAGCACGCAGCGTGCTAGTGACGTTGTCAGTGATAAACGCAGACAGAGGTTTGCAGGGACCTTCCCCCGGGAGGCCCCGGGCAGCTGCTGTGCGCGGTGGCAGCAGGGAGGCGCGAGCAGGTGGAAACCCTAGACCCCTTCCAGGCAGGCGGCTCCGCCTGCGTCCGGCTGAGGTTCGTTGAGAGGCCGGTGTGCTGGAGCAGGAGGGCTGCTGTTGGGGGGTGCCGCACCCCCTCCCTGGCAGCCGCGGCGGCCCTTCAGCTGGCCCGACCCTCGGGCCTCTCCTTCCCGCCCTCCTGCAGGGCAGGTGCAGAGGGGGCTGCTGTGGGGGTGCACGGCATTCCAGGGAGGATTCCTCGAACCGGGGAGACCCCATGTGTGGCCTCAGCAGGCCGCGGACAGGTGGACCCCAGGGCCAGCCGCTGAGGGAGCGGCCCCGCTCACGATGCCTCCCTCCCGGCTCCTCCCGTGCCGAGTCTGCCGAGGGGAGCTCCGAGGAGGCGTGTCGGGAGAGGGGTTTCCTGGCTGGATCCAGTGTGACTCGGGCCCTGGAGCTGTGGTTCCCGAACCACGACGGAGATGCTTAGTGGCCTGACGTGTGGCCGTGGTGTGCGCCAGCCGGGACCGTGAGGCTCTGGTCATTTGTGTATCTGGTTTTTCTTCAGCTGACCCACCCAGCGGGCTCCGGCAGGACCTGCGGGAGCCAGAGTCGGTTCCAGAAGGTTCTTTTGTTGGCCGCTGTCCCTGGTATTTTTCCGAAAGATCCGGTGAAAGATCTTAGGTTTCTGCTCAACCAGTCGGGGAAGGCTCCCCTGTGGCTGGGAGCCCGCGGGGCTGGCTGGTGCCTCAGTCTCGCCGAGTGCTGCTCGGGCCCTTCTGGGGTGCCCGGGGGCCCAGGGGAGCATGTGAGGCTGTGTGGGCGCCCACAGAACTGCCTCTTGCAGGGCCCCGTTGCCATGTGCGGAGGCTGCTTGCGGGGCTCTGCGGGAGGGTCCTGGGGGGCGCCGGGCTCCTGGCTTTCTCCCAGAGCTGTTCCCTGGAGACTGGGTGCTGACGCCCACGCAGGAGCCCCGACTCCATGTGGAGCCCGGTCACAGCTCGGCCCTGTGGCCTCCCCAGGACCCCCGCTTCCGGGACGGGAGGAGGAGCCCAGAGGAGCGTTGCTCCGGCCCCGGGAGGGTGCGCTCCAGGCCCGCCCGCGTCCGGCCTCCACGGGAGGAAGCTCATGGACCGGCACGGACCGGCCCTGGCAGCTCCCGGGTCTGCCCAGCTCCGAGCAGCACCCGGGCCTGAGTGCCCTCGTCTGGACACGGGGGTCAGTCGCACCAACTTCTCCCCGTGGACCAGAGGCCGGTGGATGGTGGTGTTCGCGAAGCCCTTTGTGAGGACGGGGTCCCCAGGTCGCCGCCGCGTGCCCCTCTGCGTGACCGCCACGTCCAGCTGCCACTTGTTTAATGGGGGGGGTAGACCGAGACTCTCCTGGGAGGTGGCGCTGTCCTTCTAGGCGGGGGGACAAAGGGAAGGCGGGCAGAGGCTCGGAGAAGGGAGGGGCAGGAGGGAGGAGGCGCGGGGAGCGGGGGAGGGGAAGGGCGGGGGTGGGGGTGGGTGGGGAGAAGCCTCTCCTGAGTGGCGGGGGGCGGGGGGTCTGGCCTGCTGGAGGCCGCTTGTCTTCCCGGCCTGCTGGCCGCTGCGCGCACCCCCGTGCCTGCACGCCCGTGGCACTACCTGCCCGCGTCGCAGCTCTGGCGGTGGGGTGCTGTGCTCTTTTGCGGGTCTCCGGGGGGCCCGGGGCCCCTGTGGTGGCCTGAGGTGGTGCCTCTCGGCCAGGAGCTGTACGGTTTGGTGGGTGCCCTCAGGGTAGGAGGCCCAGGGGCAGCGCCTCTCTGGGGGGGGACTCTGTGCAGCCGGTGGCCCCTGGGATCTCCCGGTGTGGCGCCCATCACCGTGTTGGGGACTGACCACCCCGGGCCTGCAGCCTCCACACTGCCCACGGGGGCGCTCTTGGCGCCTGAGGAGGGTCCTCGATTCTGGCCCAGTTACAAGCACCCCCCGAGTGGGCTCGTCCTCCTGTTGATCATTCATGAGGCGCTCGTGGGCTCGCAGCCCCCCAGGCGCACCCATGCTGGCTTCTGCTCTTTCAGGGGACCCCACAGTGAGGAGGGGAGCCCGGCGGGGAGGCAGGCATTTTCTTGCTGGCCCCGACTGCCACGGCAGGCGCCTTCCCCTGCCTGAGAAGGATCCTCTCGCTGCCCGCCGCACCGCCTTTCCGGCTGCGGGCCTCTCCTGCCCACCCGGACTTCCCCCCTCTGGCCCTGGGGCGGGGCTGCCGGCCCTCCTGGCCAGGGGCACGTCCCCATGATTCCAGCACCTTCCATGGGACCTGATAGCGGTGGCCCTGACTGGCTTCTTGCTGGACGCCCCCTCTGCGCCTGCTGGTCTCCACTCCTTCCGCTGCCCCCACCGGGAGCGCCCCAGGAAGCAGGGAGGTGTGGACTCCAGGAGATGCCACTGGGGCTGGGGGGGCGGTGATGTTGAGGGGCTGCTGTGATGTGGCCCCGGGGCCCCAGGCTTGGCCACGACTCCTCACTCCCAGGCTGTCCCGCCCGCCTGTGAAGTGGCTCTGCGGTGGGCTCCGGGACGCAGGAGGAGGGTGTGTGGTTGGCTCCGGGGTGCGGGAGGAAGGTGTGCAGCGAGCCTTGCACGGCTGGCGCGTGGGGGTGCTGTCCGCAGTCAGGGGTGGCGAGCGTGCTAGGTGTCCTTGTGCATCGGGGTGCCTTCCCCAGGCTGGGCTTGCTGGACAAGGGTGGCCTTGGGGCCTGAGCCCACCCTCCCGGCCCAGCCTGAGTGTCCCTGGCCTCCCAGGTGTCTGCTGGGGGGGCCGCGCTCTCGGCGCTGGCTCCGGATGTGGATGCTGAGCTAGCTGCACCCGCTCTTTGCGCTGTCGGGGAGAAGCTCCCGGCTCCTCTCGCATCTCCTCGCTCTAATTGCTTATTAACATGCAGCCGCGCGGAGCGGGAGCAGCCCCGGCTGGGCGCAGACTGCTCTCCTGCTGGGAACCTCTCCCGCTTCATCTGTCCCTGCTGCCTTCGGGGGCCGCAGGCACCCGCTGTGTGCCGGGGCCTGGAGTGTGGACATGTATGTGCGCGCACACACACACAGAACACATGCTCACGCACACACAGGACATGTGCTCGCACATGCACACAGGACACGTGCTCACACACACACAAACACAGGACACGTGCTCACATGCACAGTTGGAGCACTGCACTGCTTGCACACACAGGACATGCTTGCACACACACATATACTGGACACGTGCTGCACACGTATGCCCTCCCCCCGCAAGCACCCCTGTTTTCAGCGGGGTGCCTCCCTGCGGGTCCGTGGGCATCGTGGCTTGCAGGGCCTGAGGGTGGGAGGGCCGTTCAGTGTCTGGAGCCGAGGGTTGGGGAGCTGCGTGCCAGGAGGTGCTGGTCGGGCCTGGCGCCAGGACCCTGGGACCTCTGGGTCTTGTTTTGATGTCTGAGCCCCTTGGCGGCCTCCAGGGAGGGGGTGACCCCCAGAGGCGAGTTGCGTGCCCGGCTGTAGGTTGGGGAGGTTGGTCCCTGACCCCTGGTTGGTGGGGTGAGTCGGGA